GCCGGCAACATGGAGGAGGATATTTTCAGTTCCCGGCGCACATGGCCGGCCGGACATGCAGAACATGCGTCAACGGTCATTTAGACTAGGTTTAGAGTACCTTTAATTGAAATATATAATATAATAAGTTTGCTCCCGTTTAGATGAAAACACATCCAATTTAATGTAAAAATTGTCTGAATATCAATGAATACCGTCTGATTTGTTTAAATATCCATCAAATTTGTTCACTTTTGTTAAATTTATTTCAAAATAAAAGACGGATGTATGCGATCACGGTTAAATGACCAGCTCCCGCAACCGTGTCCAAGGACAGAGCCCCGGTCCGCGGACGGATATGGTGGGTCAGCTTGGAGATGCCCAAACATGTCACACGGTTTGGGAAGTTCAATAAAACCCCATTGATTTCAATCAATCAATAAAAAAAGGAGGGAAAACCAACCATGGATAAGATGCTACACGATTAAAAAAGGAAGAGTCTGAAGAAACTGACAGGCAGGCCACGTCAAGCTTGAACTAAAAGATTCAGCGCCGGCCAATGGCACACGAGGAGGCCGCGAGAGAGTAGCGACGACTCCAATCGATTCCAGCCCCCCTACGCCGACCTATAATCACATTCCCACCTGCTCCATCAATCATTGCCGGAATCGATTCATTCGTTCCTTCTCTCGGGGGACCGAAGGCAAAGGAGAGAACAATCCAAAGCCTTCCCAGGCCTACAGGTAAGGTCAATCTGCTGTATCTATTTTGATCAATTGATCCGTTGAAATCATCTAGCTCGATGAAGGGGTTACTATTTCGTTCTTGATTCGTCGCTGCCATTTCCTGCTAGAAGAGATTGGTTCGTTAGGATTAATTGGGCGCAGCGAATTCAGGGGCCTGTGCTGTCTCTGGGAATGCAAGATTCGCGCTGGCCTAATTTGTGCTAGGTTCGCTTGCCGATCGATCGGGGTTGACTTTGGGGGCGGAGGGGGAGAGAGAGAGAGAGACAGAACAATCCCATTCCTGTTTGCCCCTGATTTGGGATGCCTTGGCCTTTAATCTTCAGAATATTTACCCCTTGATTGTGCCTTGTACTACTGAAAGTGTTTGGGGAACCTGAAAAGTAGATTGCATTTGTGCCGGCAAAAGTAGAAAAAAGAGAAGCATCGTCACACAAAGGGATAAGTTTTGTCTCTGGAACGTGGCGGCACCGACGAATAGATTCGGCGTGCTTAACAGTCCATTCCATTTGCTGTTTGGTTTCCTGGATGTTAGTGGAGAACTTGTGGCAACCTGTTAGCATCTTCCCGAAGAATATGTACATGATCAAAGTTTTTTTTTTGTGTACTCCCTCCATCCCGTAATATAAGAGCGTTTTTGACACTATTATGGGGAGTGAGTAGTTATGTAGGAATTTCTCACGATTACTGCATTGAGGTGCGATGGACCAGCAGATGCTAACTAAGCTGTAAAATAAAAGGGAGTGCAAAGACAGAAGATCATGAATGACATCATAGATATATCAGAACTCGGAACCTTGGTAGATGTCATAACTCTTGTTCCACTAACTATAAGAGATTTCTGTCATCAAGTTCATCTGTCACATGATATGCTGAGTGCTCTGCACTTTAAAGTTCTTGTGTCCATATGCATTGGTGTTCCGACCATCATGTTCTTTTTATAAAACTTCAACTCTTTTTGCTATGTTTTCATCATTATATTCTGTGTGTTCAGATATGGCGAACAGAAGGATTCAGAAGGAGCTCATGGATTTGCAAAAGGATCCACCAACATCATGCAGCGCTGGGCCTGCTGGGGCGGATCTATTCCACTGGCAGGCCACAATCATGGGCCCTGGTGATAGCCCCTACTCAGGAGGGGTGTTCTTTGTCAACATCCATTTCCCTCCTGATTACCCCTTTAAGCCTCCAAAAGTGAATTTCCAAACAAAGGTGAGCTGGTGTTTGTGATTTATTGCCAATCTCTTTCTCGCTTCGTTGTTGCGAACTGTTTGTTTTCTCATGATTACTCTTCAGTCTTGACCTTCGTACTGATCTGTTAGTCGATGAATATGTCTTTAGGAAATTCAAGACGAACAGTTCCGTTTCAAAATCAAAATATTTTTTGTAAAGTTGCTTCGTTATCTACTAGCCATTTCAGTCAGATGTTTTTCTGTTACATGCTACACCTGCTAAATAGAGATGCTTGAATTGCAATGCACATTCTTCAACAGCTTGTAGCTTACTCCCTGGTAAAGTTTGTCATTCATGACAGAATAGATCTGTCAAACTCAGCAATGGTTGGTTCCATTGGGCTTGGTCCTACTTTGATAAGTTTTGAAGTCAAGAACACAAAAGTAGAATTTATAAAACAGGATGTTAAACAGCTTCTATCCTATCAATATTACCTCGGGAAATTCAAATAGAACAACTGTCAAGTAGAACAGCTACTTTGAACAATGCTGCATATGTATGACTCTACGGAACCTGAATCTTCTGTGGGATGCTGCAGGTGTATCACCCGAACATCAACTCCAACGGCAGCATCTGCCTGGACATCCTCAAGGAGCAGTGGAGCCCGGCGCTAACCATATCCAAGGTCCTACTCTCCATCAGCTCCCTGCTCACCGACCCCAACCCCGACGACCCCCTTGTCCCGGAGATCGCGCAGCTCTACAAGAACCAGAGAGCCCGCTACGAGGAGACCGCGAGGGCCTGGACCCAGAAGTACGCCATGGGCTGATCGCTGCGAAGATGACCGTGGCATCGCGTAAGAGAACTTCTGTGTCGCGCCGGTTTCCCGCCCTCTGAGTTTCGACGATGCCCAAGAGACCCCATGTGTGGCTTCCTCTGAACCAGTTTTTACTTGTGTACAGTTGTCAAAACTGGGTAATGTTTGCATTTCTGTTTCCAAACTTTGGGTGTCCGCCCTGCCCCTGAAGACCTGTATGTATCAAGACAAAACATTTCAAGAATTCGTGGTGTTTTCGTTGTTTTCTCCAGTACTCTTTTCATTTGTTGGATCCGGATGAAGCAGCGGTGGTCAATTGCTTGTGGCTCCAGTGAGTACCCGCAGCTCAGTGTTGCTGCTCGCCTGTGACCTTCTGATGATGATGACATGTGATGGCTGACAGCTAGCCAAACATGGCACTGGCTTGTCGCTGGCCAGCGTCTCACTGATAGGTCCAGTAGGGGTAGCTGCTTTATGGTCCATATGTCCTCTTGGCATTACTCTACAGCAGCACCAGAAAGGCACAGCCTGAGCATTCTTTCTTTGGGAGGATAAGAGAGAGCTTGCACGTGTCTCACCAGTGTCGTGTGTGGGCTGAATGCATCATGCACGCACGACTTGTCCGCGAGAGATGCATGCACGGAATACCATCAGAGGACGAGATTAATTAGAATGGTGATCAGGTAAGTAAGCGGACAGGGACACAGGGTTTAGAGCAACTCCAACGGGCCGTTCCAAACGGATGGCGTATTTGTCCGTTTGGGTCGGCCGCCCGCTCGACGTCCGTTCAGTTTTGCATTTAGGTCGGCAGTGCACCCAATGTGCCGACCCATTTCACGTCCGCATTCAATTTTTAAATAAAAAGGGTCCAAGGCCGACCATGCCAGCGGCCATGTCTCATTTCGGCACCATATCAGCGCCGGCATACAATGCCGGTTTCAGAAAATATCACCAAAGTTCATGCTGGCGCACTCGCCAGCCGGCCGGCACACATGTCAGCACACAAAAAAAGGTGGGACTTGAATTCGACCATGCCATCGCGGCTCCCGCGGTCATGCCGGCACCCTACCGGCATACAAAAAAGATGGCCCTCGCAGCCATAGATCACTCGTCGTCGAACTTGAGCATGTCGGCCTGCATCTTTTTGAACCACGGCCTCGTCCTTGGCGACACAATGTTGAGATCCACCTTCATGATCTCTACCCTGGTCATCATGCTCGCAAGAGCCACTTCTTTCGCCTTGGTCTTGGCGTTGGCGGCCTCGATCTCTAGCATCTTGGCTTGCTTCTCCGCCTCGAGCTCGAACATCTTGGCTTGCTTCTCGGTGTCAAGATCAAGCCTCCTCCTTTCGATCTCCATGAAAGCATCCATTTGCTCCGCCTAGGGTTTACCCCTAGCATGTAGAGCGCCTCCCTCGTTGTCGCCGCGACGCGGGGCGTTGGTGAACTCCTGCTGCGCGGCGGCGACGGCGACGGCCTGCGTGGCGACCTCATCTCTCGCGTCCGCGTCGTGCCTTCGGCCCTTCCTCTTGGCCGACTCCCTTGCCCGATGTTCGGGCGTCGGCGCCTTCTTCGACTTGGTCGCGGCGACGGTCTTGCGCGGGGCACGAGGCTTGCCTTTCCCGGAGGAGGCGACAGCGCCGGACGAGGCGAGGGAGGCGAGGCCGGCGACGGCGTCGAGGTTGAGGTCGAGGTCAATGGCGTCCTCCATGGCTGGTTAGGGGGCGGGAGCGCGCGCGGGCAGGAGTGTTTTTGGGAAAATGGTGGTGGCTGCCACCGACTTGCGGGCCCGGAGAGAGGAGTAGGCGCGCGCGCGTCCGTCTTGTATCCGTGCCGACGCAAATTCGACTCAAAATTAGGCCGGGAATGAGTCGCCCACAGACGAAAAACAAACGCGGACAGACGAAATGGATCGCTCCATTAAAGTTGCTCTTAGACTATACATCCAGTGTTTCATTTCTCTTAGACTATACATCCAGTGTTTCATTTCTCTTTGCTTGTGCTAGTATATTGGTAATAATTACACAATGTGCAGTTCTTTTTCTGGTACTACAGCTGTAGCCACAGATCATGTTTGGGAAAAAGCATGCCATGTGGCAGTTCTTGCCACATTTGCACTGTGTGTATGTGTGCCCCTGCTGGCCGTAGTTGTCTACACATGGGCTGGGTCTGCCAAATTTCAGAGCAGGAGTTAGTATGGGCCCGTGGCATGCAGCCATGATGTCCTTCTTACTCCATGCGTCCATGGACCTCCCCCTGTCTACTACTCCCTCTAAGACTAAAAAAAAGTCTACTGCTTCTTTTGTAGTGTAAAGAGCACTCTTATATTATAAGACGGAAAGAATAGTAGAAAGACAGAAAATAAAGGCAGGACAAACAAATATGAAGAAGCAGCGGGAAATCAAATCATGTGCACCGTAGTACGTACTTCCTCCGGGCCTCTTTGATTCGAAGGATTTGTAAAATGCAGGAATAGAAAAAAAAATAGAATGGCATGTCATCCTCAATGCTACAGGATTGGTATGAGCGTTTGATTATGGGACGGAAAAATGTAGGATTTTTCACACGAGGTTGGAGTGGATGAACTTTTTTCTATAAAAACTAGTAGTACAAGTGAATTCTGTGCAGAAAATGTTGGGGTATAGATGGACTTTGGCTCATATATATGACAATAATTACTGGTTAATTTCTAAGGCACATTTAGGTGCATGGCAAGTGGTGAGAAGTTTACTACTCCCTCCATTTTATAATATAGTGTGTTGTGCTTTTCGTGATTTAAATTTGACCATAAATTTAACCAACATGGGCGACTGCGGCGAGCTATAATTTTTGTCAACCGCAGTTGCCCATGTTGGTTAAATTAATGGTCAAACTTAAATCTCGAAAAGTACGGGCGCATTACATTATGAAATGGAGGGAGTACTATACTGCTACAGTAAGAAGAGTGAGTCTCCTTTATAAGGGCAGCTCTACCACATGCCATTTGAGGTAGGGAAGAGGAGATGTACACGTGCGCTTCTCCTTCTATGCCGCCCGTCTCGCCTCGCCTTGTCACGACACGCGTGCGTGCCGCGTATTGCAGGAATGAACTGAGCCGAGTCTTATCATGTTTACCTAGCCAACCGGAGGGTTTGATTTGTTCATCCCTCGTTGACTCGTTCATGTGCTAGTTGTATATATGTTGTTCGAAGATGTTTCGGTTCTATGTACTGTACATGCTCACATTCTTAGGTATCGGTATGAGTTGAATACTGTAATTGTCATGCTTACTATTTACTCGTGGATTAGTCTAATAAAAAGGGGCTGGTATTTTCAACAATCCAAAAACCTTGTGTTAGGCACTTCTCGATTCAAGGCTTTGCCGCTACTCTGAAACCGGGAAAGTTTACCGGGATGCATTTTAAACGTTGACAGATAAAGACCACCTTGTGGCTCACAACCATGGACTTGTTTTGGGTTGTAGTGTGTCTTCCACAGAAACAATTGCTCCTAATCAGGAGAATGCGTTTAGGAAGGCAACCACAATCTTTATCGGAGCAGTTCTGAGTATGATTGGAGATAAGTTGGTTGACGCATATATTCACATGCGCGTCGCCGAAACTTGTGGGATGCGCTCAAAGTTAAGTTCGGCACAACTGATGCTGGAAGGAGACACGTGCTCGCACTTGTTGAGCCAAACCAAAACGTGAAATGGTTAGGTAAAAGCCATGGTAAAAATAATACTTACACGGAAGGAGACACGCGGATTGTGTCCTAGGATGTCCGTGTGTTGGATGTGTTGGGGAACGTAGCATGCAATTTTAAAAAAATCCTACGCTCACACAAGATCTATCTAGGAGATGCATAGCAACGAGAGGAGAGAGTGTGTCCATGTATCCTCGTAGACCGAAAGCGGAAGCGTTTGAAAACACGGTCGATGTAGTCGAACTTTTTACCGAAAAAGGGTTTCCCCCCGCTTTGTATTACAAAGCAACAACACCGATGTAGTCGAACTTTTTCAAGACCCGACCGATCAAGTACCGAACGTACGACACCTCCGAGTTCTGCACACGTTCAGCTCGACGACGTCCCTCATCCTCTTGATCCAGGAAAGGTGTCGAGGAAGAAGATGAGTTCCGTTAGCACGACGGCGTGGTGACGGTGATGGTGAAGTGATCCGCGCAGGGCTTTGCCTAAGCACTACGAAGATATGACCGGAGGCGTAAACAGTGAAAGGGGGCGCCGCACACGGCTAACAATTGTTAGTGTGTGTTCTAGGCGCCCCTCTCCACATATATATAGGTGGGAGGGGGAGAGGAGCAGCCATGGGGCGCCCCAAGTAGGAGGAAGCCTACTTGGGGGTCTCCTCCAATTCGTCCTCCCCCTTCCTTTTTTTAGCCGGAGAGAGAAGGGAAGGGGGAAGGAGAGAAGGAAGGGGGGACCGAACCCCTTCTCCTCCTTCTCCAATTCGGCCACATGCCTAAGGGGGGGGGGGGCACCACCCCTTGTGGGCTGGTGTGCTCCCCT